GGTTAAGAGGAGTAAATCAAAATCTTTGATTTTAATTCTGTACAGGTTAACATTAAAATTCCGGCAACTTCCGAACCTGAGGAGTACTAGACTTTCGAAAATGCCGGATTTTTTTATGATTAAATATGCTGCACATATTTAACAGAAAGTAAATGTGTGCAGTCCTTTAAAGAAAGAAACTCAAACACTAAATGAGGAGCAAATGAAATATTAATAGCCACCAGCAAAGGCGTAATAAAAAGAGAAGGCATAAGCTGGATTTCTCTTAGCACATGCAAGCAGAACGCACCAGCTGATTCTGGAATACAGCGCTTTCAAAACATAAAATGTCTCCAGAAAATGGCTGCGAGGCCATGCGACAACTCTGTAAATGCGCTCTGAAATCAGTGCCGGATATCTGAAGGAACCGGACCATTTATTGCCGGATTTTTTAATGCCAACCTGTATTTATATTAAGAGGCAGGGTATTATTTTTGTATGACCACTTATAAACACAGGCAGAACAGGAGTGATATCAAGTACTTCGTTTTATATAGGACTACTTACAGTATTTCGTAAAGGGTTAGGAAAAAGATTTTCAAGAGGCATGTCAGTCTTAAGAAAGTTTTACGCACACATATAAAAATATATGTACATATAATATGTGTGTGTGTGTGTGTGTGTGTGTGTGTGTGTGTGTGTGTGTGTGTGTGTGTGTGTGTGTGTGTGTGTGTGTGTGTGTGTAATATGTGTTTGTAATAACAAAAATAAATTGCTCCGTACACTTCTAGAGATCCGATTTTCGAAGTACATTCAGGCGCCAGCGAATCATGTCATTGTATTAATATTTGACAAATTCGACATCTACCCGAGGACGCAGCACTACGTGGCCGAGGACATGGCAGTGGACATGTGCTGGTACGACAGCGTGGAACTATGCCTGGACAATTTGTACGACGGAGAGTGGTAAGAGAATTCCCGTCTTGTGCAGAGTGCCTGCCGTAAAGATGAATAGGCGGAAAAAAAACACGCACACACACACACACACATACACACATATACATATACATACACATATACATACAATACATACACGTATGCATACATACGTGTATACGTGTGTGTGTGTGAAACCTTTGAATCTGTGAGTCACATATATATAATATATATATATATATATATATATATATATAATATATATAATATATTATATATATATAATATATAAAACAAAAGAATTTTTTTTTTAGTTTTCCACAAAAAACAACTATTGAAGGCGATAAAACTATAGCACTATTTGAAGGTGTGCACGTCCAAATTGCGTCTCTGACCAATTGTCCGGATCATTTATTAAATTCATCAAATTTAAACTTTATCCATAGACCATAATGTAGAAAATACACACACATATACATACAATATAGTCATGTTAATGCACTCTACCTATGACTGCCTTGTATCAAAGTGAAAATGTCAATGTTTATTATAATACGAAATCTTGAATTTGGTTGTTTATATAAACGCAGTTGGTCTGTGAACAACTTCGGAGGTGCATGCCCTCATTTGTGCTATGCACGTCTCACCACTGTCATTTCACTGGAGACGACGCGAAACATTAAAATCTCGTTCATGCCTTATCCTAAACGGGCAAACTCCTCCACTCTCAGAACCATCATTATTTTGGTTATCATTGTAGCATATTTGGGGATTCGTCTCTGCAAATGCACTTACTAGTCTTGCACACAACTGTTGATATGTAAAAGGTATAGGTTACGGTAGACAATGAAAGAAAGATTTATGAAAAGGAGAAGGGGATGGCCAAGCACGGAAATCGTCGACTAGGATTTTCTTCGAGAGACGGTGGGGCTGCCTATTTGTTTTTAGAAGCTTGGATAGACAGATATACCTTATAGAAACCGAAAGTTATGCACACAACACCACGACGCACACCTGAGGGTAAATCACATGTCTCGTTGCTCACAGGTACTGTGGCACGGAGCTTCAGGGCCAGAACATTACGTCGGTCGGGGATTCAATGGTCTTGCACTTTCTGACGAGACTGAATTTTATGCCTGGATTCAGTGTCACAGTCAACTTCGTGGAGGTGCCGTAAGTATTTCCATTCAGCAATCTTCTTGTGTGGAGACAAGCGCGCTTCTGTGCGTGATTGGGTCTCTGAAAGAAAGTACAACAAAAATCACACAAACACACCCGAACATACTCGTAAATGTGCAGATGCACATATGATATACACTTGGGAACATGCAAACATATGCACACACGCTTGCACGCACCCGCGTGCACACACGCACACCTATAAACATATCATGTCCCATCAAATACCGGAAAGCTCTTACCCAACAGCCATGGCATGTCCGTAGAGGACCTCTCGTTCTAGGTGGTTGAATAACACGACAGGGTGGCCAGTTCCTCTTCGCCCCATCTTTGCCCTCAGCATGCTGGTGCCAGTACTCTATCACGGCTGAGTGAGCTGATAAGGTCTTATGCCCGGTCTATTGCAACTGATTGCCTTATGGGAGGGGAGGAATTCCTCCTCGGTAGATAAAACTGTCAACAAGGAAGGAATTCTTGGTCTCTACTTTGCTCATCCTCCCCCTGAACACGTTTCTCACGAAGCAAAACTGCAGCATAGCGATCATAAGAGCGAGAAGGGCCACAACTGTTAAGCAAGTTGAACTGTCCGTTATGTGATGATGATATTATACTTCCATCCATACACTTAAATACGAATATATACATGTGAACTTACATGCAAACATACATATGTATAAACCTAAATATACATATATAAACATAAACATACATATATAAACCTAAATATACCTATATACAACCATAAATAAACGTATATATACATACATACATATACATTAGTATGTACATGCATACACAAACAGACGCACACAAGCGCGAGCGCGCACGCACATGCACACACACACCATATAACTCTCATCTTCTGCCACCCCATGGTTAGTCCACCCGAGGAGCAGTGCACGCTCTACATTTTCCACGGCGAGGACGAGACCATGTTCACGGCCATGCACTGGTATTCCCCAAACATAGAAAAACAATGACAACCAGGAGTGCCTGCTCGGACCTGGCTCAGAGGTAAGGGGATGCATTGTTTGTTTTGATTTTGGGCAGTTGTTCCAGCTTCCGGCTTCTATATAATCACGACCTGTCTACTATGTCACCCACAGACTGCAGTTGGACGAACGTGGATGACGGTGCAGGAATTTGCTTTGGGTGATGGGGATCAGGTGATCATAGAGAACGCCTACACTGAGCCAACAGTGTATGTAACCTTTGTGAGCTCGCTTTACCGACTCTGTCATTCCCGTTTTGAATATTCCGTAACGTTCTAAGTTCCTTACATGTAAATGCGTTGATATCACTACAAACAATTTTCTATTAATCTATTTCCCGAAATACCTAGGTATGAAGGACTGCTCCCGGGAGATATGATTAAGATTCCAACACTATACTTCCTTGCCACCTTCATCTCCGATTCCGCCGTGACGGGCGCAGGATTCTGGCTGACGTTCGAATCAGAAGTCCCGGGATGCTACAAGGTCAGTTTTTTACCCATGTCCTTTTTTTTTTTTTTTTTTTTTTTGTTATTTCATGGAAACAGCTTTCGGCTCCACAAAATCCTAGATTGAATCTGCTTATAATATTCGTACGAAAGATGCCACCACAAGGCATTGTTCTTTACGAAATAAACGTTATTAGATGAAAGATTTCTTATAGCCCATGATGTTTGATACCCTGACCTTTCTTCTCCAGGATCTTACTGCACTGAGTGAGCGTCAGGTTATAACAAGCCCTCGATATCCAGATTCACCTCCTCCGCCGGGAAAGCAATGTGAATACAGAATTATGGTAAGTGATTGCATCTCCGATTCATTGTTATTTAACAAGTGGGATATCATACATGGAATACCCTGATACACTTCCCTTGATCAGATTAAGAAAGGATATTTTGCTATTTTGCTTGCAGGCACAAGATCCGACGAAACGAGTTCTCATCATACTGTCTGTACTCAATGTAAAAGATCCAAGCTTCGTAGCCGTCAATCTAGCCGGCGACGCCCTGTACAATTCAACCAATGTGATTAAACTTCAGAGACCAGTTGATGCCGAGGAATATGTTTCATTTGGAAACGTTGTCAGACTGTTCTACCAGGGATCCAAAAACGTCGGGGGTTATAAGATACGATACATGCAGGTCGACTAATAAGCATATTTTTTCTTGAAGAGTTGCTGTGGCTTAGTTTCATAACTTACTTACCTTTGCTTGGACATTATTCGCTGCATTCTTTAATAAAGTGTAAAAAGTGAAACACGAAATAAACTCATTCCCTTGCATACACAAATTACTAAAATCAGACCCATTTTCATCTCTGATAAACACTTTTAGCCTAAATTATCAGTTTAAATTATATTACAAATGAGAGGACAATAAAACTTAAAATTAATATATTGATGGTATGACTCATCCCGAACATGAATACTGAATAAAAATATAAATAATCAAACATGAATGAATATTAATAAACAAACACACACCACACCACACACACACACACACACAACACACACACACACACACATAATATATATATAATTATTATATATATATACATATATATATAAACATATATATATTATAATATATTATATTATATATATATATATATAATATATATATATAATATATATATATATATATTATATATATATATATAATATTATATATATGTATATGTATGCATGTATATATATATATATGCATATATATTCATATATATATAATATATATATATATATATATAATATATATATATATATATATATATATATATGTACTTACACTATGGAATTTAGCTCGAAAGGTGTTGCCAGAAATTATGCGTATTATTTCATAGTTCGTTTGAATTGAAGCCAGCATCCCACAAAGGTATTTCATACTAATATTGCATGAAATATTTAAGGTTTAGCTATACTTTATTGAAATTTGCTTTGTAGTTTGATTGCAAAATTGCTTCTTAAAGAGGGCCTTCTAGTCATTTTCACCCTATTATCTAAAAATGACCTTCCATACGAGAGCCCAGTAACCAGCCTGAACAAAAGCTGGGTTATTGCTGGGTTTGCACACTACTACACTGTACAGAAAATCCTTGCGTTTGGCAAATTATTGGTTCTGGTTTGGTAAGAGAAAGAAAGAAAATTGGTACATTATTCATATCATATGTGGTTAAGAGGAGTAAATCAAAATCTTTGATTTTAATTCTGTACAGGTTAACATTAAAATTCCGGCAACTTCCGAACCTGAGGAGTACTAGACTTTCGAAAATGCCGGATTTTTTTATGATTAAATATGCTGCACATATTTAACAGAAAGTAAATGTGTGCAGTCCTTTAAAGAAAGAAACAAACACTAAATGAGGAGCAAATGAAATATTAATGGCCACCAGCAAAGGCGTAATAAAAAGAGAAGGCATAAGCTGGATTTCTCTTAGCACATGCAAGCAGAACGCACCAGCTGATTCTGGAATACAGCGCTTTCAAAACATAAAATGTCTCCAGAAAATGGCTGCGAGGCCATGCGACAACTCTGTAAATGCGCTCTGAAATCAGTGCCGGAAATCTGAAGGAACCGGACCATTAATTGCCGGATTTTTTAATGCCAACCTGTATTTATATTAAGAGGCAGGGTATTATTTTTGTATAACCACTTATAAACACAGGCAGAACAGGAGTGATATCAAGTACTTCGTTTTATATAGGACTACTTACAGTATTTCGTAAAGGGTTAGGAAAAAGATTTTCAAGAGGCATGTCAGTCTTAAGAAAGTTTTACGCACACATATAAAAATATATGTACATATAATGTGTGTGTGTGTGTGTGTGTGTGTGTGTGTGTGTGTGTGTGGTGTGTGTGTGTGTGTGTGTGTGTGTGTGTGTGTGTGTAATATGTGTTGTTAATAACAAAAATAAATTGCTCCGTACACTTCTAGAGATCCGATTTTCGAAGTACATTCAGGCGCCAGCGAATCATGTCATTGTATTAATATTTGACAAATTCGACATCTACCCGAGGACGCAGCACTACGTGGCCGAGGACATGGCAGTGGACATGTGCTGGTACGACAGCGTGGAACTATGCCTGGACAATTTGTACGACGGAGAGTGGTAAGAGAATTCCCGTCTTGTGCAGAGTGCCTGGCGTAAAGATGAATAGGCGGAAAAAAACACGCACACACACACACACACACATACACACATATACATATACATACACATATACATACAATACATACACGTATGCATACATACGTGTATACGTGTGTGTGTGTGTGAAACCTTTGAATCTGTGAGTCACATACATATAATATTTATATATTATATATATATATATATATATATATATATATTATATAATATATATAAACAAAAGAATTTTTTTTTTAGTTTTCCACAAAAAACAACTATTGAAGGCGATAAAACTATAGCACTATTTGAAGGTGTGCACGTCCAAATTGCGTCTCTGACCAATTGTCCGGATCATTTATTAAATGTCATCAAATTTAAACTTTTATCCATAGACCATAATGTAGAAAATACACACACATATACATACAATATATAGTCATGTTAATGCACTCTACCTATGACTGCCTTGTATCAAAGTGAAAATGTCAATGTTTATTATAATACGAAATCTTGAATTTGGTTGTTTATATAAACGCAGTTGGTCTGTGAACAACTTCGGAGGTGCATGCCCTCATTTGTGCTATGCACGTCTCACCACTGTCATTTCACTGGAGACGACGCGAAACATTAAAATCTCGTTCATGCCTTATCCTAAACGGGCACACTCCTCCACTCTCAGAACCATCATTATTTTGGTTATCATTGTAGCATATTTGGGGATTCGTCTCTGCAAATGCACTTACTAGTCTTGCACACAACTGTTGATATGTAAAAGGTATAGGTTACGGTAGACAATGAAAGAAAGATTTATGAAAAGGAGAAGGGGATGGCCAAGCACGGAAATCGTCGACTAGGATTTTCTTCGAGAGACGGTGGGGCTGCCTATTTGTTTTTAGAAGCTTGGATAGACAGATATACCTTATAGAAACCGAAAGTTATGCACACAACACCACGACGCACACCTGAGGGTAAATCACATGTCTCGTTGCTCACAGGTACTGTGGCACGGAGCTTCAGGGCCAGAACATTACGTCGGTCGGGGATTCAATGGTCTTACACTTTCTGACGAGACTGAATTTTATGCCTGGATTCAGTGTCACAGTCAACTTCGTGGAGGTGCCGTAAGTATTTCCATTCAGCAATCTTCTTGTGTGGAGACAAGCGCGCTTCTGTGCGTGATTGGGTCTCTGAAAGAAAGTACAACAAAAATCAAACACACCCGAACATACTCGTAAATATGCAGATGCACATATGATATACACTTGGGAACATGCAAACATATGCACACACGCTTGCACGCACCCGCGTGCACACACGCACACCTATAAACATATCATGTCCCATCAAATACCGGAAAGCTCTTACCCAACAGCCATGGCATGTCCGTAGAGGACCTCTCGTTCTAGGTGGTTGAATAACACACGGTGGCCAGTTCCTCTTCGCCCCATCTTTGCCCTCAGCATGCTGGTGCCAGTACTCTATCACGGCTGAGTGAGCTGATAAGGTCTTATGCCCGGTCTATTGCAACTGATTGCCTTATGGGAGGGGAGGAATTCCTCCTCGGTAGATAAAACTGTCAACAAGGAAGGAATTCTTGGTCTCTACTTTGCTCATCCTCCCCCTGAACACGTTCCTCACGAAGCAAAACTGCAGCATAGCGATCATAAGAGCGAGAAGGGCCACAACTGTTAAGCAAGTTGAATTGTCCGTTATGTGATGATGATATTATACTTCCATCCATACACTTAAATACGAATATATACATGTGAACTTACATGCAAACATACATATGTATAAACCTAAATATACATATATAAACATAAACATACATATATAAACCTAAATATACCCATATACAAACATAAATAAACGTATATATACATACATACATATACATTAGTATGTACATGCATACACAAACAGACGCACACAAGCGCGAGCGCGCACGTACATGCACACACACACCATATAACTCTCATCTTCTGCCACCCCATGGTTAGTCCACCCGAGGAGCAGTGCACGCTCTACATTTTCCACGGCGAGGACGAGACCATGTTCACGGCCATGCACTGGTATTCCCCAAACCATCCAGACAACTACAATGACAACCAGGAGTGCCTGCTCGGACCTGGCTCAGAGGTAAGGGGATTGCTTTTTGTTTTGATTTTGGGCAGTTGTTCCAGCTTCCGGCTTCTATATAATCACGACCTGTCACTATGTCACCACAGACTGCAGTTGGACGAACGTGGATGACGGTGCAGGAATTTGCTTTGGGTGATGGGGATCAGGTGATCATAGGAACGCCTACACTGAGCCAACAGTGTATGTAACCTTTGTGGAGCTCGCTTTACGACTCTGTCATTCCCGTTTTGAATATTCCGTAACGTTCAAAGTTCCTTACATGTAAATGCATTGATATCACTACAAACAATTTTCTATTAATCTATTTCCCGAAATACCTAGGTATGAAGGACTGCTCCCGGGAGATATGATTAAGATTCCAACACTATACTTCCTTGCCACCTTCATCTCCGATTCCGCCGTGACGGGCGCAGGATTCTGGCTGACGTTCGAATCAGAAGTCCCGGGATGCTACAAGGTCAGTTTTTCTACCCCATGTCCTTTTTTTTTTTTTTTTTTTTTGTTATTTCATGGAAACAGCTTTCGGCTCCACAAAATCCTAGATTGAATCTGCTTATAATATTCGTACGAAAGATGCCACCACAAGGCATTGTTCTTTACGAATAAACGTTATTAGATGAAAGATTTCTTATAGCCCATGATGTTTGATACCTGACCTTTCTTCTCCAGGATCTTACTGCACTGAGTGAGCGTCAGGTTATAACAAGCCCTCGATATCCAGATTCACCTCCTCCGCCGGGAAAGCAATGTGAATACAGAATTATGGTAAGTGATTGCATCTCCGATTCATTGTTATTTAACAAGTGGGATATCATACATGGAATACCCTGATACACTTCCCTTGATCAGATTAAGAAAGGATATTTTGCTATTTTGCTTGCAGGCACAAGATCCGACGAAACGAGTTCTCATCATACTGTCTGTACTCAATGTAAAAGATCCAAGCTTCGTAGCCGTCAATCTAGCCGGCGACGCCCTGTACAATTCAACCAATGTGATTAAACTTCAGAGACCAGTTGATGCCGAGGAATATGTTTCATTTGGAAACGTTGTCAGACTGTTCTACCAGGGATCCAAAAACGTCGGGGTTATAAGATACGATACATGCAGGTCGACTAATAGCATATTTTTTCTTGAAGAGTTGCTGTGGCTTAGTTTCATAACTTACTTACCTTTGCTTGGACATTATTCGCTGCATTCTTTAATAAAGTGTAAAAAGTAAAACACGAAATAAACTCATTCCCTTGCATACACAAATTACTAAAATCAGACCCATTTTCATCTCTGATAAACACTTTTAGCCTAAATTATCAGTTTAAATTGTATTACAAATGAGAGGACAATAAAACTTAAAATTAATATATTGATGGTATGACTCATCCCAAACATGAATACTGAATAAAAACATAAATAATCAAACATGAATGAATATTAATAAACAAACACACACACACACCACACCACACACACACACAACCACACACACACACCACACACAATATATATTATATATATATATATATTATATATATATATTATATATATATATAAAATATATATAATATATATATATATATATATATATTATATATATATTATATATTATAGTGTGTGTGTGTGTGTATGTATGTATATGTATGCATGTATATATAATATGCATATATATTCACATATATTATGTATATATATATATTTATATATATGTATAAATATTTATATATATATATATATTTATTTATATATATATATTCATTATATTTAATATATTTATATATGTTTACATATATGTATATTATATGTATATATATGTATATATACATGTATATATATATATGTAATATACTATTACATATATATATATATATATATATATATATATATATATATATATATTTAAATATATATATATGTGTGTGTGTGTGCATTATATATATATATATATATATATATATATATTATATATGTATATATATATATATGTACATATATATATGTACATATATATATGTATATATATATATTTATATATATATATATATATATATGTACATAATATATGTACATATTATATGTACATATATATATTATATATATAATATATATATTATATATTATATATATATATTATTATATATGAATATTATATATACTATATATACTAATATTATATATATATGTGTTATGCATATATATATTATATACATTTACATATATATATACATATGTATAATATATATATATATATTTATATTATATAATTATTTATATATTAAATAATAATAATATTATATATATTATATTATATATATATTTTATATATGTTATATATATTTTATATATATTATTATATATATATATATTATATATATATATATCATATATACATTATATGTTTGTATAGGGTTCCCTTCTCGGCGACGTCCAGGGTCTCCTTCTCGACGACGTCCAGGGTCTCCTTCTCGGCGACGTCCAGGGTCTCCTTCTCGGCGACGTCCGGGTTCTTTCTCGCGACGTCCGGGGTCTCCTTCTCGGCGACGTCCGGGGTCTCCTTCTCGGCGACGTCCGGGGTCTCCTTCTCGGCGACGTCCGGGGTCTCCTTCTCGGCGACGTCCGGGGTCTCCTTCTCGGCGACGTCCGGGGTCTCCTTCTCGGCGACGTCCGGGGTCTCCTTCTCGGCGACGTCCGGGGTCTCCTTCTCGGCGACGTCGGGGTCTCCTTCTCGGCGACGTCCGGGGTCTCCTTCTCGGCGACGTCCGGGGTCTCCTTCTCGGCGACGTCCGGGGTCTCCTTCTCGGCGACGTCCGGGGTCTTCCTTCTCGGCGACGTCCGGGGTCTCCTTCTCTCGGCGACGTCCGGGGTCTCCTTCTCGGCGACGTCCGGGTCTCTTCTCGGCGACGTCCGGGGTCTCCTTCTCGGCGACGTCCGGGGTCTCCTTCTCGGCGACGTCGGGGTCTCCTTCTCGGCGACGTCCGGGGTCTCCTTCTCGGCGACGTCCGGGGTCTCCTCTCCGGCGACGTCGGGGTCTCCTTCTCGGCGACGTCCGGGGTCTCCTTTCGGCGAGTCCGGGGTCTCCTTCTCGCGACGTCCGGGTCTCCTTCTCGGCGACGCGGCGTCCGGGGTCCTTTCTCGGCGACGTCCGGGGTCTCCTTCTCGGCGACGTCCGGGGTCTTCCTTCTCGGCGACGTCCGGGGTCTCCTTCTCGGCGACGTCCAGGGTCTCTCTCTCGGCGACGTCCACGGGGTTCCTTCTCGGCGACGTCCAGGGTCTCCTTCTCGGCGACGTCCAGGGTCTCCTTCTCGGCGACGTCCAGGGTCTCCTTCTCGGCGACGTCCAGGGTCTCCTTCTCGGCGACGTCCGGGGTCTCCTTCTCGGCGACGTCCGGGTCTCCTTCTCGGCGACGTCCAGGGTCTCCTTCTCGGCGACGTCCGGGTCTCCTTCTCGGCCGTCCGGTCTCCTTCTCGGCGACGTCCAGGGTTCCTTCTCGCGACGTCCAGGGTCTCCTTCTCGGCGACGTCCAGGGTCTCCTTCTCCGGCGACGTCGGGTTCCTTCTTCGGCGACGTCCAGGGTCTCCTTCTCGGCGACGTCCGGGTCTCCTTCTCGGCGACGTCCAGGGTCTCCTTCTCTCTTCCTCGGCGACGTCCAGGGTCTCTTCTCGGGCCCCTCCTCGGCGACGTCCAGGGTCTCCTTCTCGGCGACGTCCAGGGTCTCCTTCTCGGCGACGTCCAGGGTCTCCTTCTCGGCGACGTCCAGGGTCTCCTTCTCGGCCTCCTCGGCGATGTCCAGGGTCTCCTTCTCGGCGACGTCCAGGGTCTCCTTTTCGGCGACGGGTCCAGGTCCTTCTCGGCGACTCCAGGGTCTCCTTCTCGGCCTCCTCGGCGACGTCCAGGGTCTCCTTCTCGGCGCGTCCAGGGTCTCCTTCTCGGCGACGTCCAGGGTCTCCTTCTCGGCGACGTCCAGGGTCTCCTTCTCGGCGACGTCCAGGTTCCTTCTCGGCGACGCCAGGGTTCCTTCTCGGCGACGTCCAGGGTCTCCTTCTCGGCGACGTCCAGGGTCTCCTTCTCGGCGACGTCCAGGGTCTCCTTCTCGGCGACGTCCGCGGTCTCCTTACGGCGACGTCCAGGGTCTCCTTTCTCGGCGACGT